GCATTCCTGTTCTGCTTGACTGGTTAGTTCATTTCTTCATGCTGGGCTTATACACATTCCTCTCTGCATATATTGATCCCTTAATAAGGTAATAATAGTCAGCTTCCATTACTTAAACAGAATAAACCATTCTCTCTGGTTCAGTCTTGTTTTTGCAGCAATGTCTTCTGTCTATTGTGTTTCTTACAGGCCGGTGTTGGAAGAATTCCCTTCGAAGACAAAGTTTGAGTGGAAGAGAACCCTCGAGGCCTGGAAATATGGAGCTGGTCTTGATTACGAGTTGTAAGAATCTCTCGTGGAAGATGCAGATTATGGTATAGAAGAATTTCGTTCTGGTCTGAAAACTCGCCATCAGAAACTAGATATGGTAATCTATTCTTAACTTGTTGATTCGGTTTAGACATGACAGATCATCATCTGTCACAGGCGAAGAGTTCTGGACTTTGGAAAGAAAACAATAGATTCATACCATTGATACATACCGAACTGAATTCAACTTACCAAACACAAGAATTTCAAAGATTGGAACCCAGAAAAATCAAACAACGACACATATCTTACAAAAGTTGCTCAAACACATTATTTCACTGATGAAAACTTGAATGGAATGCGGGAATCTTACTTCGTAACTTCCTCGGACCGTTGTTCTTTGTCCTGACTGCTCTTTCATCTGCGTCGCCTTTCACGAGGTCGCCTTTCACGAGGCCTCCTTTCTCGAGGTACGTTTCTTGGTTCTGATCTTCGGGATGGCTTTCGAGTTGCAGGCGTGGGTTTCCTCTTTCTTGATAGAAAGCAAAAACAGTTTATTATTATAGCAGGAAACGACATTGTCTCTTTAGGACAGAGGAAAACAACACAACTTAAACACACTTTTATCAACGCAGAAAGATCCAATCTTCTTGTCTTGCTTTTTTTTTTGGGGGTTTTTGTTTGACTCTCAATGGCGAGTTTCCTTTCTTGTTCGTTTGGAACACTTCAAGCCCTTACCTCAGCAGTTGGTACGGAACATAGAAAAGAAATACTGATTAGCCAACTTGTATTATGTTAACATATGAACGTAGAAAATAGAGGGAGACAATGCCACTTGGGGTTCTGGTAGTGTATTAAAAAGGGCAATACATATGCATAACTCACGTTATTCACATTAACATTGAAACTTGAAGATCAATCTGATGATCACATACATCATATACCTTATTCAACCATGTATATTACATATGTCGGTCCAGTTTATCTTTCTTCTTCAATTCCGTACATCCAAAGGATGCATTTCTCTGACACATACTGTCGTCAAGATTTGGTTCCAAGAGTTTTGGAAAGCTCCTTCACGATCGGTTTCTCCTTTATGTACCCGCTGTTATCCACGCGCCACTTCTTTGACATGTTTTCTGCCTGAGTTGTACATAATTTTCCATGTTAGTTTTGAATGATGAAGTTCTGTAGTAAGATTCATCTTTCGGTTTTCGACATTACCCAAGTTCTAAGGGGCATCAGTTGCTCTCTTATATTCTCGAGCTTTGGTTGAACCAAATCTTTGCTTTTCGTTCTTATGTCATCGCTCTGCAAGAAAAAGAAAAGGCGGTAACATGAGTAAGCAAGTGGATGATTATACTCGGAAAGGTCATTTCGAGCCTTGCAGATATACAAAATTTCCTAACTTTTTATGTAACAAAAATTTTAACTGTCTTACTTACGTTTTGCATGCCTAGTTTCGAGGCTGCCATTCCAAACACTAACGAGGCTCCTCCAAAGACGGTAATAGTTGCAACTGCAAATGCTTTCCCAACTGCGAAAAATCATAGGGAGGGGGGCAAGATTAGAGAACATGTCAAACACTATCTTTTGGACATCAGGAACCAGAAAACCTAAGTTTGGTGTCTTGTTTGCTTCTCTGAATGAGCTACTCTGATACAGAACAAAACCTAAGGCAACGGCAATCTATCTCATCCTGTTTCTCTCGGGGAGAATCGATGATGAACATATTCACAGGAACCACCAACATGAAGTACAAGATTGTTTGTCATCTGAGCCAGAAATCAGTAATCGGAAAGTACTCACTATCCTCAGACTTCATGGATTGCAGCAGCCACAGGGTGTTCTGTTTTCCATATAATACGGGAAACTAATATGAACTAAGAAAACAGGATTCACCCAGTATTTATTATCAACAGTAGCTGTAACCTGAAAATTATCAGCAAACTCAGACAGATATTTATGCATAATGATCTGCTCCATGAGCTGAACAAAGATGGACAGAGGGATAAAGAGAGGACCCTATATAACAAGTCCCTAGTTTTGCAAGAGAGGCAATATCTCGACTGATTCCTCCGGAGAGTGGTTCTATATTCCAAGAACCAAAGCTCACCATCCATGGAAACTGCGATAATTAATTTCAGAATAGAAGGGTGTAAAAGAGAGAAGAAAGCACACCGTATTTAAGCCCTTCTGCTGCAGCTTTCAGTTTCTCAGGATTTGCATGAGTAGTGTATCTGTCTTTCCTCATTTCATTAGCTGTTGACGCTACAACCGAATTCTCCGAATCAGGCAACTCCCATCTGCAAGAATCGACCCGGAGAATCAACAAAACCGATACAAAACCCAAAATTCGAGATACCCAATAGCGCAAAATGGACTAAAAAACCCTAAATCCGATCAAGTTTGGACCTTTTGGGGCCAAATGTGACCTGAGGCAGGGACAGATAATTTCTGAGAGGGTTCAAGGCGTCGGAGGAGACCGAAACGGCGGCGTTTGGGTCGGACTGGAGAGCCCATTTGGAGGATTTGGAGAGAGACGAAGGATCGGGAGGAGGGCCGAAGATTTTAGGAGGGAGAGAATGGCGCAGAACCTCCGGAAGCACGTCCGTCTGGACACCCGACGGCTCCGCCGGAGAAGGTGGAAGTTTCTTGACGGCGGCCGGAGATTTCTCGGCGAGACGGTTAACGGCGTGTTTGGATTCCTGGAAAAAGTAGGCAGCTTCTTTTCCCGCTAGCCTCCCTGCAAGAAAACTCATTTTCTCTCTGTCGGTCTCTGTTTATGGAACTTGACCACATACACACACATACATATCCTGTCGGGTGAATTCCGAGCTATATATACAGACAACAACACGCACATAATTGCATAATATAAAAATATCATTGAAAGGGAAAACAAAAAACTGGAGAATTTAATTTGGATAAACGAGTCTCCTGACTTGGGTATCAAGGTCTATGATTGAAGATTGCATGATTTGATTTCCACTTCCTTGGAGAGAAGTTCTTTGACAATTACCCAAATCTTCAAGAAAATATAAGAGCATAGAGGAATTTAAAATATATATATATATATATATATATATGTTAACTTCAACATGCACGAATTCAATTTTTTCAACAAAGAATATATATGCACAAAAAATATTTTATAATCTTACATGTCATGTATATTGTTCGACGGCCGAGGTTATGCCATCGATCATATCCAAACGGTCGAATAATGGGCCGAGATATTGGGGTTCACGTATCTCCACAATTGGCCCATAGTTAGCACTGAGCAGTGGCTGGGGGATCTTAGGGATGACGTGGATTGTGCGACACTGCCACGTCATCCACAATGACTACACGGGGCTTGGTACTATTTAAAATCCGCCTTCCTCGCATGAATTCAAATCACAGAAAGTGGAGGGAAAATTGAAAGCCCTAGTCCCCAAATTCCAGATTTCTCCGTTTGGAACCCAACAGTTCGAATCTTCGTCTTCTCCGATCTCCATTTCTTGTTTGTTTACTGCATTTGAAATCCCTTGTTTGGCTGGATTCATGGCCGAACCCCTCACTCCAAACCCTAAGCAAAGCTTGGGTTCGACGGCAAGTCGAATCCAGCCTCCGAGAAGTCCCTTCTTCTTGGGGTCTAATGACGATAAGTTCGAGAGGGAACAGGCACGCGCCTCCAGAGCCGCTGCTAGCCGCCGTAAGTCCGTCGCTTTCGCTTGCGCTCCGCCGCCGCCGCCGCCGGTGAAGGATCCCGATCCATGCTTGGACGAACACCACATCCTCGAGTTGCTCCAGAACTGTATCAAATTGGCCAGCGAAAACGTCGGTACTTGCATTGTTCGTCTTTTCCATAACCACACAAGTGGTCAGTTGGTGTCTTAAAGGTTTATGCTCTTATGGGCTTACCTTCGGTTAGATTTGCTCTGAGGAAAAGTTCAGGATTGAGTTTGCATATTATTTTGAGTTTCGGAGTTTCTGAGAAGATTTTTTCTTTTTATTGTGTGTTATGGAATGTGTTGCTTACAATTTATATCTCTAGGGTTTTTTATTTCTCTTCTATCGATTTTGTGTCACCCAGAAAATCAATCAAAAAAATACGTGGGAGCTGAATCTGATCGACCATCTCTGTGAGGTTATTAAGGTTGAAGAGAACAATTCCGAAACAAACTTTCAAAAGGTAAGCTTCTCCTTTCGCTCTTTCTTTGGTGTTTGGCTTTCCATGAATAATTTACTTCAAGTTACAAAAATGAGAAAAAGAAAGGTTCATGGCAAAGAAAGATTTGATCTCTTACAAGACAGGCAAGTTGCACTCTTGAAGCTGGAGTTAAGATTTACTCATTGAGGGTAGACTCAGTTCATTCTGAGGCATATAAGGTCCTCGGCGGAATTAATAGAGCTGGCCAGGATGATAGTGAAGGTTTGGTTTCTTACACACCAGAAGCTATCTTGTTTCTAAATAAACTTGTGATTTCCAAATTCTTGACATCTATATGGAAATGTATATCACTTAGAATCAAACTTCAAAGGTATAGGGTTTGAAGAATATATATTTTTGGCTATGCTCGCACTTCTGGCCTTCTTCAGCTTTAAGCCGATGTAAAAAGTATTGTGTTTTTAACACCTTTTGTTTTATGTTTTCTCTTCTGAAAATATACTCTGAACCCAGATACCATAGTGGGCGCTGATGGAAGTTCCGTAGATAATGAAAGTAACCCAAAGAAACAAACAGAGAAAAAGGTAGTCACACAGAAATCTCAGCTGGAAATAGTAGATGAAACTATTGGCTGACAAGTTTTTAACTTGCAGATATCGCCTTTATCAACGCTAGAACCTTCTTTTGAGGCTCTTAACGTAAAAAGGTTTGATGGTAATTGCTCATCTTAGCTCTCTTTGTCTGTTGTCTGAAAAACAAAATCTACGAAATAATATTTGTTTTTACAGTGGCATTTGCTGTGGATCCACTTTATCACCAGACATCAGCACAGTTTGATGAAGGTAGAGCAAAGGGTTTGTTGCTGAACAATTTGGGAGTCTATGGTGGGTGCCAAGTGCTTTTTGATTCACAAGAAATCCCTGGAAAGCTTGTTTCATCTGCAAATCAGCCTGATAAATCAGAACCGATTGACTTGTCTTTTGCCAGAGGTTTGGCTTTATAGTTCATACACCACCATTCGCTGATATATATGGCTGTGCGGGTTCTGTCGCATTAGTCTTTCTGTCTGATACATTTGTTGTTTAATGTGTAGAATATGTGCAACAAATGGTGCTAAACATGCGAATGAAGGATGAGATTTCACCATCCCTTTGGACTATAATCAATCAATTTGATGATGAGGCATTTTCTTGTGGTCAGAAATTGAGTGAACCGGTTGATGTTTCACAAAATAAAACGAGTTATGCAGCCGATGATGAGGCATATGAGAACTTTGAATTCTATTCTTTTGATCATGAGGATCAACCAAGCATCGCTGAGGAAAATCTTGATTTCAATGATGCAGAGCCAACACATTCAAATTATCATGAGGTTATTTTCACCATTGTTTCCGATGTTTACTTGTTTCTAACTTTCTATTGCGGTTGCTATGATATTTTCTGGTTCTCATTTTTGTTACTGAAAAACTGATGCTGCGGTTTTGGCTTTGCAGGAAGTCAAACCGTCATCATTCCAAGAGCCAGATTTAGGAGAAAGATTTGAGAATGTTGATGAATATCTGTTTTTGTCTTTGGGATTATCGTCGAAACAAAATTCATGGGCAGGTCCTGATCATTGGAAATTTCGAAAAACTAAAGGTAGAATCTCTTATGGCAATTCCAAGTGACGGTAGAGGCATTTTTCTATTATTGTTTGTTCAGCTTCTCTTAGGGTTTTCTATTCTCTGGGTTCTTTTTCACAGGTCCAGAGGATCACGCTGCTTCAGAAAATGGATCTCCAGAGCCAGCAAAGAAACCGAGGAGGAAAAAGCAAGCAGAACCTGAACTAGATTTTACAAAAGCTTTGGATGAAGAAAGGTCTGATATTTTTGTGCCTCCAATAGACCCAAAGTCATTGCTTCTGCCCGAAAATAGAGCACCTTGCCAGACCAAGCTTCCCGAAGATTGCCATTATCAACCCGAGAATCTCGTTAAACTATTTCTACTTCCAAATGTGATGGTAAACTTCCGACACAATGATTCGTTCACTGTTCCAGTCTTTGTTATCTTTTGTTTTTCTTTTATCTATTCTTTAAAGTAAATCTTTTGAATGGTCACAGTGCCTTGGGAGGAGGAGAAGAAAATTCTCAGGTAACATACTTATATTGAAATTTGAAATCATCAGTGGTGTCCTCTTGAGTTTATAACGAATATATCAGCATCCTTGTGATCTTGATTGATATATTAAGACTTGTTTGTGCTTTGTCAATATTTTCTGGAACTGTTTTTTGGTTCTCAAGGAATAACTGATGTCTAACCCATTGGTTAGAGTGTACATTCCAGGTGAAACGAGACAGCAGTATGATGATTACGAACCTGTAGAATCCTTGGACAATGAAAATGCATTTGATGCCTCGTTTGATGATCCGTTTGGTTATGGAAATGATCAAAGTGATTTGGAGGATGCCAACTCATTAGTCTCTCGGCCACGCCAGGTAGTATTTGACATAAACCACTGGTTATGGGATATGACATCATACAGAATATCTTGTTTCAATCAAAATACTTTCTTATAGACCATTGTTGTAATTGACGTTTGTCCGTCCTTTAGGTCAACAAAATTGAGGTCCAATATGATAAAACTTCAAAACAAGTTGATGTGCAAGTACTCAAGGATACTCTTTGGGATTGTATCCAAGAATCTCCCGGACTGCATATTCGTGTAAGCTTTTGGCTGCAGTCAAGAATCTCATTTGTTAGATTCAATTTCCTCTTTTATTTCCCATTTTCTGCCGAGAAATTTGCTTGTGAAGTATGAGGATCAGGAACAACAGCAGAAAACTAGGTCTTTCAAGCAACTATTGGGGAGCTTCCCGAGTGAATGTAAAGCAGCCAGGAGCACCCGAGACATCTCGCCTCATCTTTGTTTCATTTGTTTGCTCCATTTGGCCAACGAGAACGGTCTCATCCTTCATGGCACTGGCACTCCCAACTTGGATGATCTTTCTATAAATCTGCCTCCATGAAAAATTGAAGAAACCATGAAAAGAAAAGGAGCTGATTCAAGAATTCTCTGCTGATTAAGTTTGTAGTTTCTTTTTGGTTCCATATAATTGTGAAAGTTACAATTCAGGAGAACCTTCTCATCTTTTGTCTGATTTTGCAGGTTTGGTGTTCGGTGAATTCAAACTGCAATCTGGTAATGGCTCAATCTTAGATTGATTTGGTTTAGAAATTATATGTTTTTAGCAAACATTTGTTGTATTGTTACAACAGTCCATTCTATACCGTATGAGACAACTAAAGAAGGCATTACAGTAAATCATAAATTCACAATTACACCTTTTTATCTGAAACTAAGGCCTCACACCCTTGAATCATCTTCTTGTTTGTGTTCAGAACTTTTGAGAGAGCATCCTAAGCAACTTGGACACTACTGCTCTTAGTCTTGACGTTTGATTTAGTGTCTTCTTTCCATCCTCTTTTAAGAGCTCTCATCTCCCAAATCGCCGTTAACTTCTTCTGCTCCACGAGGGCTTGTCCTGCTTTTTCTCGTGCTTCTTCGCAGGTTTCCATCCCGGAGTTGCACTTATCAGCTTCCTTTTGGTATGACGACATTATCTTCTTGGCCTCCAGCAAAGCCATGTCCGCTCGCCGCTGCTTTTCCATTGATTCTGCCTCGCGAAGCTTCAGTTCCTCAGTTAGCAGCTCGGCAGCGTTCTTCTCTGTGTCCTCGTTCACCTCAGGGTCCCGCTTCGCACAGTCTGCTTTCAAAATTGCAAATTTGGAGTCTAAGATCCGAATTTTATACGAGGACTATAGATTATCCCAAAAAGTGAGATAGATATGATCAAAAGGAGATCTTATTGAAGGGAAGGATACACTCTTCATGAGTTGACTGATGCATTATCGAACAAGGTATTATCAGCATATTCCACAAATGGGAGAAAGTATCGGCTAATAAGAGCAATAGCTGGAGGGGAATGCAATTATGTAGACTCTTAACAGCAATACAGTGCAAGTAATTGTCCATCAGAATTAATTCATGAGAGAATAACTCACCGGCAAAGGAAGCATTGCTCAGTCCTGCAAGAAGGTAGAGAGACAGGTAAAACAGGTCAGGCTTCCATCTTTGGTAAGGGGTTTCCCAAAACAGGTGTATAGAAATGAGCACCCAGAAACACAAATGTGGCATATTTAGAACCTTGGCTTCAACCTCCATGATCCTACTAAGGAAATCACAAGTTATTAAATATGGAATCAGATGCCACAAATAAACCTCCATATTCGAAGTTAGAATGCTGCTGCGGTAATAAGCATTAGATCTACACCTACTGAGTAGCAGAATGACCACTGTTTCGACTAAAACTCAAGAACAACCCACGAGATCTAGCAACTAAGTAACCTACGGAGATGGAAGAACTTCCTTGAGAAACTGCTCCTAAAACCAAACAATCATCATCTTTCACACAGGCCACAAAGTAAACGAATTCTTATATTTCCCAGCGGAATCAGCAGCTTTCCAAACGGATCTAGCAAGATCTAATCATGGCCCCAGATCCTAACTCGTTTACCTTGAGGGATCGTGAGAGGCTGGGAAGAGCAGTCGCAGACGCAGGGAGGGCAAGAGGAGACGGAGACGACGGAAGATCGGCGGCTGACGGCGGCCAAAGCCTCCGTCAGGTGCCAGTAGAGCGGCGGACCAAGTATGTAAACCGCCATGCCCAGCCCCAGCAAGCCCCGTCAGGCTTCCATCTTTGGTAAGGGGTTTCCCAAAACAGGTGTATAGAAATGAGCACCCAGAAACACAAATGTGGCATATTTAGAACCTTGGCTTCAACCTCCATGATCCTACTAAGGAAATCACAAGTTATTAAATATGGAATCAGATGCCACAAATAAACCTCCATATTCGAAGTTAGAATGCTGCTGCGGTAATAAGCATTAGATCTACACCTACTGAGTAGCAGAATGACCACTGTTTCGACTAAAACTCAAGAACAACCCACGAGATCTAGCAACTAAGTAACCTACGGAGATGGAAGAACTTCCTTGAGAAACTGCTCCTAAAACCAAACAATCATCATCTTTCACACAGGCCACAAAGTAAACGAATTCTTATATTTCCCAGCGGAATCAGCAGCTTTCCAAACGGATCTAGCAAGATCTAATCATGGCCCCAGATCCTAACTCGTTTACCTTGAGGGATCGTGAGAGGCTGGGAAGAGCAGTCGCAGACGCAGGGAGGGCAAGAGGAGACGGAGACGACGGAAGATCGGCGGCTGACGGCGGCCAAAGCCTCCGTCAGGTGCCAGTAGAGCGGCGGACCAAGTATGTAACCCGCCATGCCCAGCCCCAGCAAGGCCAGTCCCACCTTCAGCGCCGCCGCGTGGTTCGCCATTTTCCGAGATCCTCCGATCTGGGTTCCCGCCAAAAACTCGACTTTACGGCGGATAAGGAGTAATTCCGAACTGGGTTTTGCTCGGAATTTGCTGAATCGATGCGGAAGATCGGTGGACCGCGTCCTGAGGGATGAGATTGTTCCCTCTTTACTTCGACGGCAGTGTGGAAAACAATAGATTCGTGTTACTCTATATAATTAAAAATAGGCTTCAAGTCAAATTGCTACCATTCATACTAAAAAAAGTCAAATTGCTACCAACTTTGGTGGTTAAATGAGCAATAACCAGTTAATGCAATGATTTTCAAAATAAATATAATCTAATTGCTAAAATTATAAAAGAAACTGATTCTACAAATGAGCCGTTTTCTACATTTAAAAAAACATTTCACACAGCTTATATTCTTATGTTTAATAAAAAAAAGTTTTATATTTTCTAACAATAGTCTAATAACTTGATATTTAACTCATATAGTAAGATTTATGATTCAAACAATATCAATCAATTATATTATATTATATATTATATATCCAGTCTACACTGATATTTGTTCTAAAAATGCTAAATAGTAAAGATTTTCGAGTACTTTATCGTAATCGATGAAATAAATATTATGAATAATTTTTTTAGGTAATATGATTATAAAATGTTTGCTCCCATCCTTCGATCCCGACGGCGATTTCTCCGGCGAGGACTTGCCGAGCCTCCCTTCCACCGCCGAAGAAATTGCGGAGATCGACGCTCCTGCGGCTTACCTCCGTTGCCGGAACTGCAAAGGGAAAGCTTCTGATCTGCGTCTTCTGCGAGCCAGCAACAAAGGACGAGCGATAACCCTCCTGATTCCATCGAGTTCACCTCCACTTCGGGTAACAAATGGTTGTTTATCTCTCGTAACCTCGATTGGATCGATAATTTCGACACAATTTGCATCAATCGTTTTCTGAATTTTTGTTTGTTTATGTTATTCTGCTGTGGGATTTTGTCGAATTCTTCCACAGCCGAGAAAATGAGTTTCATCGTAGCTATCTTTGCCAAAGCCGGTAAGCCTATTTGATGCTTACGGAGAAAGGAAGTGCAATTTTACAGTGAAATCGAGGAATTTTGGTATGCCGAAGAAGAACAATTTTGTTCAATATATTATCACATGCAGGAGATAGAGGAGCCATCGAAAGAGACGAATGGATCAGGAAGAGGAAGGAATGTGCCCATAGAAGGAATTGCCGTGTCAAAGTTTCTAAATTTTGAAAAACAATGGGGCGTGAAAGAGGAAAACGGTGGAACTAGGGATGGAAAATCGATGCAGAGTAAGAGTCCATTGAAAATCTTTCCAAGGTAGAGAGGCAACCTGAGGAGGGTGTTAGTTTAGTTTGTTCAATGGAACAGGACCTGGCGATCTCTTTCCCAACTCTTCAGTTGAGTTGTCTGCTAATATGGACACTGTCTTTGGTTCTGGAAAAGGTTTATTCTGCTTCTGTGTCCAGTACTGGTGATTATTCGGTAATGTCAATCACGAGGCTCCGAAAAACAACTCAGCTATCCATGATCGGAATGAGGAACAGATAGTAGAGAAAAAACAAAATGGAACATATTCCATGGATAATGATTGGATTGGAGACGGTGACAATCTATGGCAAACCAGTGCTTCTGATAAGATACCTACTGATGAAGACAAAGAATGGAATGTGATTTCGCAAGCTCAGGTAATGTTAACAAGAAACTTTAGAGCTAAGCAACATAGATGAATCCATAACACTGGGTGGGAGTACATAGAAATCATCATTAGAACACGTGGAGATTGGTTTCTGAACTTCATGTCTGATGTGATTCTGCCATTCTGGCATATGATGGAGATGTTTTACAGAAGAGAAGGATGGATGAATATGATGGTGCATTTAACCTTGTACCCTTTCCTGTTTGGCATCTGTGTACTGTATAGTATCTTACTATCTGAACCAGAACTGAGATTGGTGATGTCATTTTTAGTGTGACATTCCTCGTTTGTTTTTCTCTTGTTTCATGACAGATGACGGAACCGATAAAGATCAAATACTGAAAAAACTATCTCTTGAGGCTCCATTGATGGAAGCTAAAGCCAGAGGGTGATACGAAGAGGAAACAAATGCACGATCTCTCACTCATGCTCGAGGCTAAGCTTCGGGTACCTCCAAACACCAAAACAGAGCAGTAATATTTTACTTGTCTCTCTTAACATTTAGAGCTCTCTTGTTTTTTTTGTTTTTCTCTGGCTCTTCAGTGGTTTTCACGAATCGTATTCTACCTTCATAATCCCCAAATACCCTGCATTTCGGTCTATGTTTGACGGGAGAAAAAAAACTGTTTATGCCCTTTTCTAGTTTATCTCTCTGACTTATGCACCGTTGCTGTTCCATCTTCAGCTTGTTCCTATAACCGACAGATCATTTTATTGCTTCGATGAAGTCAGAAGATGGGAACTACATTGAAGAATAATGTGGCAACAAGAGCTCTGGATACACAGCAATGGCCTCCTGCAGAGATAGAGGTCGTCAATGGAGGTAAAAGAACCTCTCTTTACAAGCCAAACCCAACAAAATATTTAATTACATAATTAGGAATACCGTAACGGAGATAATTAGGAAAAAAAATACATCTTAACTTAGAGAATGGGCCTTACATAGCGTAGTTGGTATGATAGAATATTACATTAAGGAGATAGAGCTCTTCCTAACAGAGAAAACAACAAAGGCGATAGCCAAAAGGGAAGCTTTAGAAATGGTAGAGATAGGAATCCCATATTTCCCTCTCCCAAATAAACCCTTGAAGAAGAGCCAAAACGATATAACTACGGACACACACCCGAAAATCTCCCCGACACCATAGCCACCTCCGCCCTGACCTGCCCTGAACGAGAATCCGATCAGGGCAACTAGATTCACTAATAAAATAGTTGTCCCTGGCAAAAAATAGACCGAATCATCGAAGATAAACTTTTCAGAATCCGAACCAGAGACATCATCATCATGATCGACATCTTGTCGAGAGGTTGAGGGTGCATTCTTCTTTGTAAGTATGAACACGGTGTTTGATATACCAAGAACTTTGAGTATGATGTCGGAAATGCCGAATAACCAAGCACAGGTGGTCTTAACTCGAGCAAATAGCAAAGAGGCAAACCACCTTTGAATGGATAAACCTAGATTGATGAATTCCCATAGACTGTAAAGGCAGTGCATGACCACGAGAGCCATCACTATGCTTAAGCATGGTCCCTGCAAACATAACATCATTCAATAACTTGTGTTTTCCTTTCTTGCTGTTTATTATAGAATATAGATTTATATGCTTAAGCATGGTCCCTGAAACTTTTATTAGACATGATTGGAAACAAAAAAAAACGATACCTTGGGCAAGAAGGCAGAGTCGTGGAGGATGCAATAGGCAGGCAAGAGACAGTAACATAACTCAGGGATCGACTTGAGACCCCAAGTGCAAATGTACAAGTAGCTACAACCAGATCGGAACCCTAATTCCCGCCACAACATTCCGATCACCGGACTTTCCTTGTTGAAAAGAACTTCCAGAAGTCCGGTGGCCCACCGCCGCTGCTGGCCCATCGCCGCCGGACCTCCCGGCGGCATACATCCCAGAAACGCCGGCGGCTCCGGCGAGTTGTAGTAACTTTTCCATCCTTTTGCATGTATGTTGACGCTCGTGTTTATATCTTCCGCCGTCGAGTCATATATCCATCCAAACTATAATAAATACTTGTTAGTTTGTACTTTGTTAGAGCCAGTAACGAAGATATCATTATTAGACAGTTATTCTCGAAAATGCGATGTTTTGCTTAATTTTTTCAGATAAAGACGTCGGAAGGGAAAATTACTGTTTTGCCCCAGTTGGTGCAGTGCTCGTAGTCACAATCTGCCACTCGATGCGCGGCTTCGAGCGAACTCGTAAGGCCATTTTTGGGATTTGACTTTCCTTGCAACGCGTCAGCTGCTGACGTCACCATCTCCTCGCAATTCCCATATTCTCTTTTTAGGTTACCCTCCTCTAATAATTTCCCTTAAAACAAAAAAAAAAGACAGAATTATTTAGGTTACCCTCCTCCTCCCTACATTATTTAGTAAAAAATCCCAAAATCAAATAAATAAATAAAACAATCGTTGTATTTATACCTGAAGAAAGACTCCCATCATCTTGTAAATCATGTGGAGATAAACCATAAATAACATTTCGCCGGAGAATACCTCCTGATCCGGCGTACAACGGTGTCCCGATTCCGGCCATTCCGCGGCCTATATACTATTTCTCAATATATATATATATATATATGTATAACAAGAAGAATAAATAATTAATGGAGTATTATAATTAGTGAAATTAGAAAATGGCGTGGAAATTAATTAATGGAAAAAAGGGTTTTAAAAAATGAAGAAGGCGTGCGTACAGTGAGGAAAAGGACGAGGTCGTCTCCGAAACTGTCGTAGAACAATTGAGGAGACTGAACAAAGGCGAATTGGTTTCGAGAGGCGGAGCCGAGGAACAAACACATCGCTTGCCTTATAACGTCGGGATTGTTCACGTACATGTCACAGTCCACGTTCAACATGTATGGCGCATTCGTCATCACCCCCGACACTCTTGCCTGCGCATCCATTTCATTCCCAACAATTATAATTATTATTATTATTATTATATATAAACAAAACTTGAATTGTTATTCGAATTCTGAATATGAAATTGAAATGATGGTTTAAAAGAATAGATACTCTCTAATGATATATCACTATTCATATAAAGATCTTTCTATAAAAGCTTATAATATCTAGATTTTTTTAAATACAATATCTAATATCTAAATTCGAACTAAAAAATAATCAAATTTTCTAAATAAAATTTAGATATTTTATTTAAATTTTAATTCAAAATCGAAATTTGATCCAGAGAAGCTTAAATTTAATACATGATTTAACACTACAATTATGCATGTGTCGTTTTCACGTCGTGGAATTGAGGCCTCGTGTTTTGGTACGTAAAGTCTCTGTCTTTGCGATTGCGTTCACATGTGAAACTTCTCTACTAACGTCCGTTACGCAATTAAAGATAAAAGACGACACAGCTTGGACCGACCGAATACTACCGAATCAAAATTAACTATAAATGGAAAATAAGCATATATATATATATATATATATATAGATGTATGTAGATACGGACCAAGACATTCATGGCTCCAGCTTTGTAGTGATGGGAGTGCTTTGGACGTTTCTCTCTTGAGATGTAGACCAGATGCGGAACTTCACTTTCACTGTTATTCTCCCATATCACCTTCACACCCATTATAATTACTTTTCTTTAAATATTATATTTTAAAGTTATCGGTTGTCATCATCATTAGAGATTATAATCATCTACATCAAGCATGAATATGTATACGTATCTATACCTTGACTATAGTCGGATGGTCCCGAGGGTATACGTTGGAGAAAGCGGCAAGATCCTCATCTGCATCATCCAACCCATGTGGATTCTCGGCCACCATTTCCAGTTTCCTGCTTAGCTTCTCGTACTCGACCTTCAAAAACAATATAACATATCAATCATATCATATATATATATATATATATATATATATACTAAGATAATAATGTATAACTCCATTTTGTTACATATACACACACATATATATTGTGCGGACAGAAATTAACAAAATGAGAATATTTTCTTTTTTTTTTTCAAAAAAAAAACGAATGTTCTACAAAAATGGGTTGAATATATAATGTCGTTTTAGGGGTATATATATATATATATGTGTGTGTGTATGTATCGTGAGAAGAAAACCATTTCATAGATGTAGCCTCTAATCGTTTTAGAGTATGGTAAAGCACGTATACCTTCATGGTATCCCAGTCTTCCATGAATCGAACCGAGTCAGAACCTTCCGGAGCAACTGGCGGGTTCAAGAAATATCGAAAAGGAGCTCTGACTTGGACGTTGTACTTCTTACAAAACGGAACCCAAATCTTGGCGAATCTCGAAGCCAATTTGAGGGAGAAGAATGTGGCGGGGGA